TGCTTGGAGTCAGAGTGGAACACTACTGCTTTGTTGTCAAATGGCAATTGTGCTTTCAACACAAGAGCCTAAGGAGAGTTGCCTGCCAGCTGATAGAAGTGATGGTACAGAGGGACTGACTTGTCCTGTGGATGTGAATGGCAGAGGTGAAATTGCAGAGAAACTGAACCAGCTGGGTCAGTGTCAAACAACAGCACAGTGAATTCCTACGGCATCCCAGGGGGAATGTTTCAGAATTCTTTGATTCCTAGGACTGCTCCTGCTAAGCACCTAAAAACCTGGATCCAACAGGTGAATAACAGGTAACAGTGAGAAGAAAATGTATAGTGGGAGAGAACGAGTGATACGAGGGGAATCAGTGAACAAGGAGAAGGTCATGAGCAAAATTTTCCTATTATTTGTAGCATAACTAAGACGAATCCTCTAGTTTTGACCTTTTTCCCCTCATTGTTGCTGGGACCATGAAGGCATGCATCTTTGCTCTGGACTAGCCGTTTACCATAATCAAGGAAACCAAGACAAGTGAGAGTTTCTGCATATTCTTACATACAAACTTTTGAGATAGAGTGTTTGGAGAATTATGGGAAAATCCGAAATGCATTTGGGATTATAAACTTCTAAGACTTCAATCTAGGCCCCTTTACACTGACTGTGCTGCAGAAGATGAAGAGAGATGCTGCTCAATTTTGAAGGATGCTCAGTGCTTGTGGCTCACATGCATTCCAATGAGGACAGAAGTTGTCAAGTACTCTCAGGGGACTGGAAAAAAAAATCAGATCTGCTAAATTATTCCTCATCCCGCAGCTCAGCCAGGTAATTTCTGAGAGAACTAAAACTACTTATGCGAAGATGATACATTGTTAATTAAAATTTCCGATTGCCTGGCATAACACTGATTGCTACAGAATTCAAGGAAAACATCGCAACTCCTTCCACATTATAAAAGCAGTGAGGTTCCCCAGGAGAGAGGGGCCGTGTCCCGAGCTCAGGCCGTGGTGGTGGGGGAATGAACCACCACCAGCACAGGATTCCCCGCGTTCCAGGGCACAGAGCGCACAGATTTCTCCTCGGTATCCCCCGGTACCCCCGCATTGCCACGGCCGCACCGCTCTGCACCCGCGGGGCTCCCACCGCGCCCCACAAACCCCACGAGGCGCGGACACCGCCCGGCAGCCCCGCACGGGCCCTCCCGGCCGGGCATTAAGGCCGGATCGGCTTAGGAGCCGTGCGGGGCTGCGGTGCCGCCTCCGCGGGGCCGGGGCGGGCGGAACCGGCCTCGGAGCGGCCCCGGGCCGGGCACAGCCCCCGCTCCCCGCTGGCTGCGGCAGGAGGCGGGCGCGGGGCTCCGGTGGCTCCGCAAACGCCCCGCACGCCTCCCCCGGCGGGGGTGAGCGGGGGCACCGGCACCTCCCCCGGGCTCCGCCAGCGCTGGAGCCGCCAGGGAGGGCGGGGGGGGCTGCGCAGGGCGCGGCGACGGCCCGACCTCCACCCTGCCCTGCCCGCCCCACCGCGGCACCGCCCGGCCCCCGGGCTCGCCCCTCACCTGCCTGTCCCGCCGCCGCGCCCCGGCCCGGTCAGGGCGGCCCCGCGGAGCCCCGGCCCGGCAGCGCCGCGCCCACAGCGGGCCCGAGCGCCGCCGCCATTGGCGCGGGCCCCGCGCGTCACGGCGGGAGCGGCGGGGGCGGCCCGGGAGGAGGCTCCGGGTCCGCCGGGAAACACCGGAGAGGCTCCTGCTGGGAACTGCGGGGAGATGGGCAATTATCTCTGACGAGGAACGGCTGAGGGAGCTGGGCCTGGGCAGCCTCGAGCAGACTGAGGGGGGACCTTGTCCATGTGTGTAAATGTGTCCAGGGAAGGGCAACGAGGCTGGTAAAGGTCTGGAGCAGAAGCCCTGTGAGGAACGGCTGAGGCAGCTGGGGTCGTTCAGCCTGGAGGAGGGGAGACCTTATCAGCTCTCCCTGACAGGAGGTTGTAGCCAGGTGGGGGTTGGTCTCTTCTCCCAGGCAACCAGCGACAGGACAAGAGGGCATGGTCTTGGGCTGTGCCAGGGGAGGTTTAGATGGGACATTAGGAAGAAGTTCTTTACAGAGAGAATGACTGGACATTGGAATGGGCTGCCCAGGGAGCTGGTGGATTCACCATCCCTGGAGGTATTTAAGAAGAGACACCACACACCTGCACTCTAACTACAAATGATAACCTCCCTTTGAAACTGCTTGCTTATACATCTCAGTGTTTGCCATCACAAATTTAAGAACATTAGCAAGAAGACCCATGCCTGTCCATTAAAATTCCCCAAAGGTATCCCAGACCTTTATATATCTCACAGGCACAGTACAGGAGGTGGAAAAGCATTTCAGGCCTCTTTCAAAGGGAACTGGCTGATTTGTTGTGAATCCTGCCTGAGGAGTTTCCACTTTCTAGTTGCTGGTTAAGGAGAATAAATCTGCCTTGCTCTTGTTCCATGGCTTGCAGGTTCAGATGGTTTTGATGTGCAGAGGGTTGTGGTTGTGAGGATTGATGTACACGTGAAATTCCCCAGAATGATTCCTGTATGAGGCAAAACCATCCTGTCTGGGTCTTTTCCTGCTAAGCCCTTGGACACTTGACTCACCCTGCTGTGGTTTGGTCCCTTGCACAGACTCGGGCTCCCTAGTAGTGTTTTGATGATTTGATCATCGGAGCGAAACATATTTATAGAGACCAAGTGCTGTTTAGATCCAAGAAAATTTACTTTGCAAGATTTGTAGTTGCTCTGGCTCTGATGCAACTTAATCAATTTAGTTGCCATTTGGAGCAGTTGTAAACAGGATTTTAGTTGTTTTCCGTGGGAATTAAACTGCAGAAGAACATAAGGAGCATTTTCTGGGATTTTCTCACAGTTTGGATTTTGAACTGCAGTGCTGTAGTCTTACAGGATGGCAGCATAAATGACTGGTTATGCAAAGGTTTTGCATGATAAGTCGTTTACATCCAGTACAGTTTTCTCATGCTTTTTTTAAGGAGGACATTACATGTGAAACCAAAAACATGCTCTCCATAACATTGGCAGCACGTACCTTTTCTGTGGTTGGTGGCTCTGCTATACATGAAATTTGATGTAAAAGTTAGGCTTGAATTAATGCCTGATGAAAACTCTCACTGCTCTGGGTGTCTGATGTTGAGCCCTGCTTTGTTCAGTTGCTGGTGTTGCAATAGAGCTCCCTTTCTGTAAGGAGGTAATTAGGAAGGTTTTGCAAAGAAAGCTGATTATAAACTCATTTTCATTTTGCCATCAATTTGAAGGGTGGATTTGCTCTGGGTTAATGGGAACCTGACTTCCAATCTGTGGCCTGTGAAGGGTGCACCCTGGGTCTTCCCTGAATGGGGGGCTCTGAACCCTTGCAAAAGAGAGAGAAACATCCAAATGTCCTTCCTCATCTCTGTCCTTCAGTCCTGTGGTTACTGTGTGACTCAGGAGGAAGGAGTTACTTCCAGTGAACCAGGTCTCACTCACTTGCCCTTCTTGGCTGGGGAGATTTCCCTCAGTTTTGCCCATAATTGTTGCTGTCTAAACATAACCTGCGGTTTCCCACGGCAAAGGTAGGGTTTGCCTTGAAAATGCAGTTAGGGGAGCTTTACCCCATGACTGGGACCCATCCTTGATCCAGGTAAGGCTGGAGTGCTCCAAAATTAGCTTAAATCTCTTGTTATTAGGAAAGGCCTTGCTCTGTTCAAAGCATAGTCAGGATATTTTCAATCCTGTTTCGCTGCTTTGCAGCCCTTGTCCCAGCGCAGTTGGAGGGGGTTTGTACAGAAAGCTTCCCTACTGTTGGCTTTCCACGCTCTCCCAAACCTCGCTTCTTTGATTTTTTTTGTCACTTGACATTCATTTTAGGGAAGTATCTTTCCCCTTATGAGGAAGTACTGCGTTGCATTTGTGTTTTAAGATTTTTCTTTGAACAACATCGTGTAATATTGATACCACCACAGTAACAGTAAGCAAGAGAGCCCTGAGATTAGGTGTCCTTTCCAGATGGGTCACCTGAGAAGTGGAAGAAGGAGCAAGAGGGCAGGGACATCCTCATGATCCTGTGATGCTGGCACTGGCTTGGAGTTGGGGTGGTGTGACCTGTTTTGAGCATTTATTTCTTTTTGAGGCAAACTGTTTAATCACTTCTGGGTTTAATGTTTTTTTTACCCCCTTCCTATGAAATGGGGCTAAGCCTTCCCTACTGTGGACAGGACACTATCTGGGGAAGGGAGTCACTAGTGTTTGCTGCAGTGATAAGGGCTGTTTGTACCTCTAGTGAAGGACAAACCCGTGATTTCCAAAACAAAAGATTTGGTGAGTCAGAGAGCCCAAAGGATGAAGGTGTGGAGGGAAGAAGAGGAAGTTTTAACTGGAGCAAAAGGCATTTGAGATCTTTACAGCATCTGTCCTGGGCTGTCCAGCCATGGAGATCCTGTGTTTCAGAAGCAGCTGAGTGTGGTGAAAGTGCTGTTGAGCTCATTCCCCTAGTTTGCTGTACAGGAGAAAGCAGCACCCCCCTTGCTTTCCTCTTCCTCCCTGTAGTGTTTTTTTCCCTAACTTTAGTGATTCTTTGAACCTCGTGACTTTTCTCCTGCTTCCTCCTCACTCTCTTGCTCGGCCACCAGCGCGTTCTCGGCCCTGCTGACCAGGGCAGAAGGGTGCGGGGCTCGTCCGTGAGGGGCCCGTCGGCGCGGGGCTCGTCCGTGAGGGGCCCGTCGGCGCGGGGCCGGGGGCTGTCGGTGCACAGGGTCGGGGCCGTCGCTCCGTGTCGCTGCGGGGCGCGGCCCCTTTAAGGCCGCGGGTTCCCCGCGCCGCCCGCCCGGCGGAGTCGCCGCCCGGGGAGCGGCGGCGTCACGTGGGGCCGCGGCGGCCTCGTGACCGGGCGCGAGCGCAGCACCGGGGCCGCCGCTCCCGCCGCGGGCCCCTCACGCCGCCCCCCCCACCCCCCTCACCGCCGAGCTCCGGCGCCCCCGGGCGGGGCGGGGCGGGCGGCGCCGCTTCCTCTGCCCGGCCCCCCCCCCACACACACACCTCGCTCCGCGCCGTCCGCGGGGAGCGAGGCAGGGCCGCCGGCCCCCAGCATGGACAGCAAACCGCTGCTGCAGGAGCGGCCCCCCGCCTACAGCCCCGCCGCGCCGCCGGGCGCGCCGGGGTACGACTACGGGCACGGCAACTACGGCGCCATCCCCGCCCCGCAGCCCGGCTACCAGCCACCCCCGCCGTACCCCTACCCGGGCGCCGCGCCCGCCGCAGGTGGGTCGGAGGAGGAAGAGGAGGCGGGGGAGGGCGCACTCGGAGGGGTCGGGGGGTCCCCGGGGTGCTGGGCCGGGGGGCGGCTCTGCAGAGCCCTCCGTGCCCCCGGCGCTGGCTCCGGAGCCGCTCCGGGGAACTCCCGAGCGGCTCTCCCGGCCCAGCGGGGCGCGGGGGGTGTCTCGGCTCTCCCGCTTGCAGCCGGCGCACGGGGAGGCGGGTGCGCACCCATCCAGGTGGTTCCCAGCGCCATCTCCCTCTTCCCTCCTTCCCTCTGTGGCCCTGAGGTGTTTTGTGTTCTCTCCCCGAAATACCGGCGGGGTTTGGGAGCGTCGCTCTCGTTGCGCGGGTTTTCTGCCTCGGAACAATGGCAGGGGCTCAGCCGCCCTAAGGCTAAAACAGACCCCGAACTTGGAGTTTTCTTTGCGTGCACTTCGCTGTACTCTGGTTAATGTTTGTTTTTTCCTGGTACACTTCAGTAGTCTTGGAGGGACTTAAGCAGGTGAGTAGATGCAGTACTTCTGTTAGCTGAATTGGTACTAACATCTGTCAAAGAAAGAAGTAACCTCTCAGGAAAGAGGAATGCTTCAAAAGTTATCAAAATTGCACAGCAGACACAGACCCCAGTCATCAATCATTGAGCTGAAGCTTGAGGCCATAGATTGATTTTCCTCCTAATAACTTGGAGCTTATTTTCCTGCAATACAGGTCTTACTGATTATTTTCAGTTTTAGTAGTGAGGTTGCAGGACTTTACAGATGTGTAACTTGATTCAAGAGGATCAGAACTCTGCCCTGCGAAAGAAGATCAAAATGGATCATACCTGGGCAAAGTGTACTTTGGCTGTGTTGATTACGATGCATACATCTCACCATCCCTTTTAAAAGCTTTTTTTTCATTTTAAGTTTTTATTGTTAATGCAGTAGTTGAAGGCCTGTGTCTTCTACCTACAGCTGTTAAAAGGACTCATTCTCTACCCAACCACATGGGCTTTCTGGCTATGCATCCTGCTTCCTCTTTACTTGCATCCTATCACTCTTACCTCTCCAGTTATAAACTGAGCATTGGAATTTAAGCTCGAAACCAGAGGAAGATACAATGTTTCAACTCATTTGTGTTCTGGAGAGGGCCATACTTGATACATACTATTCCGAAGTGAAAGCTGTGGTCATTGTTTAAACTGCTTTTTTTTTTTTTCCCTGGCACTCAAAAGCATTGAAACAAATTCTTGAAGTTAATTATTAGCTTGGTGTCCCTTTGAGATGGTTAAATTGTGCTGGATAGTTGTGTTTATGAAGTGGCTTTGCTATTCAATATGCCAGGTGTTCCAGCTCTCATTTTGATAGAGCTTCAAGTGCTCAATCAAAACTGCATTTCTGTTTATTGTTTTCCGCGTTTTGTTGTCGTACTTTTTAATTGTCGTTGTTCTTTGTGCCTTGCCTGTGGTGATTGAGGTTTTCTTTCTTATTTTAGGGTATGCTGTTCCTCCACCGACATCACAGCCCAACTATTCGAGCACGTACACCATTATTCAACAGCCTGCTACCACCACTTCTGTGGTAGTAGTTGGTGGCTGTCCTGCCTGCAGGTAAAATGGCTCTTGAGTGGAGACATAAACTCGATCTTGGGTTTTATTTTTTAAATGTTTGAGGTATCCATATGGTTCCTTGGTTTTCAATAGTTTTTCTTTGTGTGTGTGTGTGTGTGTACTGCAATAGAGTTAATTAAGAGCCACCAAGATTTAGTGGTGGAGTGCTTTGGTTTATGTAGCATGAGCTTGTCCTGATGGGCTTGTGACAACTGCTATAAATAATACAAGACACTTTATATAAATCCATGAGTCTGTTCTTTATGATGGAGGAAGATCTGTAAGCAGTACTTTTAACGAGCAGGCACTTCAGTAGCAGATGTAAAGGGTCAGTTCGTGGGGGAGAGGATGACAGGAAGTCCTTTCTGATGTGTTTGTGCCTGGTGATGGTGAGTAACATGACTTTATTGTGAAACTTTCTGTAATCTTTGACCGTAGTCACTTCTGGTTTTCTGGCAGTCTTGTGGAAGAACTTGTGGTGTGCGGCGCCATTCCCAACATCCAGACTGTGCAAAAACAGGCAGAGTAATGAAAACATCAGTGTCTTAAGGCTTTAAAAGATCTCTAAAAGTCCTTTGACTGCAAAAGAACAGGGAGCTTCATAGACCTGACTCAAAGTGTTAGTCTGATGTGGTGGTAAAAACCAGAAGTAGTGGTCAGCTGTTGTTTGGAGTTGCAGCAAGAGAACAACTTCCCTCTGGGAGATCACAGCCATAAAAAAAGGAAGAAGACACTCAGTTTCCACACTAGTGCTGTAAGTCAGCTGTAGTCCCTTTCACTTCTCAGTTCTCTTCCCAGGATATTGGGTCATGGGTGAGGGCAGAGGGATTGCTGCTGGTGCAGCTCAGGCACTGCTGTGCCAGCTCTGACTCGAGTGCAGACTCAGTCCCTCTGTTAAAGTGTATGGGAGTCACCCCTGAGGTGTCTGGCAAAGAGGCCCTTGGTGTTCTGCAGGTCTGAGCCCTTGCTTTCCTTTCCAGAGGTGTAGGAAACAGAGTTGCCTGAAGAGCTGAAGGGATAGTGGGCTGCAGCGTGCTGGGTGTGGTCCTATGGCACGGGCTGTCCCCCAGCTGTCTTTTGGTTCTGTTGGAGTTGGGGTTTGGGTTTGAGAGTCAGTCCCTGCCCTCAGAGGTGGATTCAAAGCAAAACTGCCTAGTGGTGCTGTGTAAGAACAGGTGCTTGCTGAGATGCCACTAGTTCAGGCTGAAAAACCTGTACCAGGCAGAGCTATTGATCTGGAAGGTGTGTGTTTTAAACAGTGAGGGAAAGTTAGTGCTGAGCTGTTCAGAGGATGTGGTAGATCCTGCCACCTGAGTGATTACATTAACATGCTGATGCTGCAGCTCAGCCAGAAGACAGGAGAGGTGTTGTGTGTTGCTTGGTAAGAGGCAGGTAGTGTGTTATACAGGTCTTGTGGCCCTGAACCCAGTACAGCTCAAAATATTTTATATGGAAGTGGTCTTTGCAGTAAATTCAGATTGGTAGGCTCTTGCTGTGATTTTTTTTTTTTTTTTTTTTTTTTAAATTTTTTTTTACCCCTGGAAGTTATCCTGGGATAGTCTAGGAGAGACTTTTGAAATAATCATTTGCAAATATAATATATAACTTCAGAGAAATTTGGGAAAATGAGCTATCTGGATTGTTTTCTTAAGTCTTTAGACCTGCTCTGCTGGAAGTACCCATTGTGCACTATGTCCTGCAGCAAAATGTGCTCCACAAAAACGTGGTTTACTCTTGGATCCTCAGTTTTTGTTTTAAGCTGTGTCAAAAATAAGTTGTGAGGAGAACTCTGACATACTGATTACTGTGAGGCACAATACTGCACTGTTTAAACTGTAGGACTCTTCTCAGCACCTGGGAAATACTCTGGATCAGGGAATCCTGAGGATGAGCCGATGTATCTGGTAGTGTTTTGTCACAGTCTCCTTTGCAGTATTACTATGTTTGTTCCCAGTTGCCTTTAGAACAAGATTCAAGTGTCAAGGCAGGAGGGATAAATCTCAGATTACTTGTCTTTTGAGTCATTATGGAATTGGTAGTCTGGTACTTCGAGAAAAAGGGCAGGGAGGCTGAGTGGGAAGCATAATATTGGTAATATTCATTTCAACCCGAAGGGTCAGGGTTCATGTTCTGAAAGGTTACACTGGCTGCTTCTCAGAGAAAGAACTCTTAATCCTCTTTGACTTCTCAAGACCTTAAACACAGTTCTAGTTCATTTCCTTACCCTGGAAACCTATTTTATGAAGAAAGAGTATGGCTGCACATTGCAGAGTACAACTCCAAACAGAAAAGTTGTTGAAGGGGCATGGAAAAACATAGAAATGTTAATATGTACCATATTAATGGTACATAAAAAACTTTGTTAATAAATTGCCAGGTCAGTTGTCCTGTTACTTTTAAGGCCATCAAGAGGATTTCTGCTGTCAGAAATACAAAGCAGTCTTTAGCACTGTGGCATGTATTAATGTTGCTAACTGAAATAAGACCCATTTCCCCCTGAAAATATATGGTGTTGAGGAGAAATACACAGTTATTTGGGTTGGTGTCTGTTTTATTGCAGTCACAAGTCATCTTGGGATCACTGGCTAGAGCACCGTTGATCTTTAGGCTTTATTTATGGCATTCAGTCATAAAAGGTACATAAAAAGTACAAAGTATCTGCAGAAGCAACTCTCAAGTCAGCAGCATGCCCGTGGTAATTGCATTCTTTCCCTTCTCTCTCAAGCTTCCCTGCCATCTGAGGGGTGACTCTCCTGTCTTGCAAGCAGTACCTCTTGCTCAGAGCTATTTTTTAGTCAGATCATGCTCAGTCCTAATTGGTCAGTGTTGCTTTCTAATTACAGACCTCAGTATTAATGTGTGTTCCATCCTTCCTTGCATTATTAGAATGTTTTGGGTGGTTGTAGTCCTGTTGTCTCAGCATTCTACTCCCAACCCTGATGTACAGAGAATTAAACTGAGTTGCTGAATCTTGTCAGCTTTGTTCTTCTAGTTGACATCTGAGTATCAGCCAGGTCCTGCTTTTAAACTATTTCATGTTCCCAAGTACAGATTGAGTCATTACAGACACTGACTTTAGAGGTCCATCTGTGCAATTGTCTTTTCAGCTTGGAGGATGCAGCCTGGCTGCTTCTCTTGTGCTCACTTTCATTTTCTCTTTCTCCATCTTCCGTTGTTGGGTAGAACTAAGTGCACAGGAATGTTTGCTTTCCTGTTACTTAACAGAAGAAAGATCCCTTTAAAAATTGTGAACACATTCTCTTGATCTGATGGTTGCAAAAGCTAGGTTCTTCAAAATCTAGGAGAGATCTTCTGTTGGACCCCATTGGATTTTTATTTTCCTGCTTAACAATATTCAGTTGCCTGGGAGAAAGGATGAGGGAAAGAACATCTGCTGGAGAAACATCGAAGTGGGTCCCAGGTTCTACTAACACTGAAGCTTCCTCTAGGGCTGGAAGATGAGACAAGTGTGATTAAAACTGTATTTATTTATTCTCAGATCTCTTAAAGCATTCTCCCTGCTACAGTTTTTGTTTGGTGGGGGGTTTTATGTGTGTGGTTTTTTTTGTTTTGGTTTGGGTTTTTTTGTTTGTTTTGTGGTGGTGGTTGTTTTTTTTTTTTTTTTTTTTTTGAGTTTGGGCTTTTTTTACTTGACTTGACAAAGCAGTAAGTTGTCAGGTTTTGGTTGAAATTTTGTTGTCTTCAATTAAATGCATGTCTCCTGAGGAAATAGACTCGGGAAAATTGCACTTAGCTGATCAGGTCTTTCAAAATTTAATTTCTTTTGCTTTTACTTCCATTGTTTCAGTCAAAATGCCGTGTGGGGTTTGATAAGAGGCTGCTCAGGATACAGGTTTTCTGTAGTTATTCACAACTATGATACTTAAACTTTATGTAAATAGTTGTAATATAATTTCATAATCTGTACTGGTTAAATATGAAAAGAATTAAAAAAAGGAAAGGTACCACAGGTAGGTGTGTGCTGTGCCAGGGTGTCCATCCCTGCTCTGCTGTGGTTTGGAGGCTGGAGCAGTTGGGTGGGAAATGCAGCGCTGGCTCACACACGTGACTGGGAAGGAGAGAGCCTTGATCCAGCAGGGCTGTTTGGAATTCCTGACTAGCAGAGCTCTCCCTTTCCCCTCTCAGCCTGACAGCAGCTGCTGAGCAGGAAGTTTCTCCCTAAGCCCTGTGCAGAGGAGAGGGGAGCTATAACAGGGTCCCAGATGAGGACACCATAGCTCTGGCTGCTTCTAAGGAGTTTTGTTCTGCTGATCTGACCCAACTTGTGGACAATAATCAAAACACAGATTTTTAATAAGTGAGACTTTAAGTGATTAATAAGGCACAGCAGGAATATATTCCCTAATGGGACTGTATAAAAATGATAGTGTGGTCCATAACGCCCAGCCTGTCAGTGGGCCTGAGTCTACAACACTTATTTTTTTTATTAATGTCACCATTTGTGTTGGAGAATACTTGCCTATATTGTCATAATTAGGGTTTCTTTGTAGCAATGAGTTGTTCTGGGAGAGAGGAGGAAACTGGCCTTGTTTGGTGACCAGAGGTGGTACTGATGTGGCTGTGCATGCAGACTAGGGAGGCAAAGCCACACCAGGGGCTCATCCTGAGACATGTCCACAGTGAGGGAGCTCTGACTGGTGTGCTGAGCCTTTTTTGTGAGGCTGGACCTTGGTGTGAAGCCATGAGGCTTTTCTCCTAATTAGTGTGTTCTCAGAACTGAAATTAAAGCAGTGGTGCTCCTGCATTAGAGAAGGCTAGTGATTTGGAGGCATTTCAAGAAAGGCAACAGCCAGGCACAGGCTGTTCTCATTGCCAGAACTTCTCTGGCCCTGCAGCCAGCCCTCAGTGTAGGAAATGGGCCTAAAACTTAAGGAAATTCAGATCTATCTGCAATACTGTTGTGTCTCTTAGTTGAAGGTGATTTTTAAGGATAATTGCATTTACATGTATGTACAACTTGTGCTGAGGAGGGCAAACCATGAGTACAGAGAGATTTGGGGTCCTTTCTGTGAATATGGATCAACAAGCATTCAAGATGCCATCAGGCTGAGGCTAGAGGAGCTGACACCTCTCTTCATGGAAATTGCAATTGTGAAGTATTGCTTACTCTGTAGTTGCATATATAACTGTCAATTTTTTTTCTTCTGCTGCTTGCAGGTGAGATTTAAACATATTTAACCTACCTGCTGCCGTTGCACTGGCCAGGAGATGATAATGAAAAGCTGTCTAGTTTTGTTTGCATGTTCACAATTAAAGATTTAGTGTGTAGCTTCCAGAGTCTCTGGTGTGATGTTCCTATTGGAATCTAAAGTTTGAAATTTGACCAACCTTAGTGGGAGGAGATGGGATACTGATTTGAAAATTCCAAGTGTAATCCACTGTGATGTAGTGATAAGTCTAAAAATGCTTGTGTTAAATCATACCAATGCTGTGTTCACAGAGCTCATTACTGGCCCTCTGATCCTGAGCATTTGACTTAAGATCTTAATGTTTTAAGACTTAATTTGAAAAAGGGAGTTGTCTGAAAAAATAATTTGGTTTTAAATACTTGTCAGTGGGAATAATTGACCTTACTATATGGAGTTGGCAGCTGCAGTTATAGCCTAAATTCAAGATGCTGCTTGCAGTATAAATAAACCTTTCCACTTTATTTTTAGAGAGGGAGTGGTGCAGTTATAATCAGCTTTTATGTGGTTTATGCTGTAGAAGAAAATTTATGTTTGGTTACATTAGTGAATCTACAGTTTGAATATGGAGTCCCTAATTACTCTGTAGCTCAGGTAAGATATACAAGTAAAAACTAAAATATTCATAATCTCCCTGATAAAAAGTATTTTTTTTCTCCTTTTAAATTTAGTAACTGGCTAAGCAGTGATTGGGTAAGTGTTCATCTAAAATTAGGTGGTGACACAAATCAACAGAAGCCAAGAGGAGTCTGTGTAGCTAATGCTGCAGCAGTGGTGTCTGTGCTGTAGATGTGTCAGGAACTGGCTCTGAAACAGCAGGTACGGTGGGGGGGTCATGCAAGTACAGTCTGATCAGCTTCCCACGAGTGTCCCTTGGAGCTCCTTGTCTGATCCTGGGCTGGGCTATCCCTGCTCTCACTCCAGTGCTGACCCAGCACTGCACCCTGTGCTTTACTTTGTCCTTCCCTGGGCCTTTTCCCTGGATCTGGAGTTGAATATGGATGGCAGGTTTTTTTATTTTTACTTGGCATTTTGCATGACCACAAAACGCTTCTGGATAACTCTGTTTAGGGGGAAGGGAGTTTAAAATAAATTCTATTTTAAGTGTCAGGGACATGTGCTGACCAATGGACTTGGGCCTTGCAAGCTGATTAAGAGGGTTCATTAGAATGGGTTAGGCCACGGTCATCGCTGCTCAGGGCTGACCAGAAGTACCCTGTTTGATCCCCCTCTAATGTTTAATTAGTGTGTTTATTCTGTAGGGTCACATCAATTGGCTGGTTATACTCTTAACTAGACACACTGGCTTACTTGTCACAAGTGTAGGCTTCAGAGCAGGAACTTAGTATGGACAAGGAGAAGATTTCAAAACAGTGCCAAACAATGGCTGCAGGAGGGGGTTGCTCAGTGTGTGAGAGAAAAAATGGCATTAGTGTGACAGCGAAGCGAGGCAAGAAATACAACAGCTGTAATGTGCTGTGCACTGCACTTATTGTGCATTTCCAAAGTACTGTTATTTGGGATGGCACTGAAGTGCCTGGAAAAGGGGCTTTGCCTTTCTTGGATGGAGCTGTGCAGTGGTGAAAGCTGCTGCATCTTGAATTACTCAGAATCATCCAGTTTGTCTGAGCCTCTGTTCTCATGGTGTGGTACTGGGTTAACCTGTGGGCACTGGAAAAGGAGAGGCCTCACCTCCTAAGCTTCTGCTGCTGGGTTTTTTTTTGGTCTGAGGGTGCTCAGCATTTTGTGCATTTCCACAAGGACAAATGGCCAAGTTCAGCTGCTGTGCAGACTGGACAGTTCTGGCTGAATGTACAGGATCTTTTTTGCCTTGGCTCTCTCAACAGTCCTGAATCCCTCTGCATTCCAGCCCTAGCACCAGAGTCTTCCCAGGAGATGGCACTTCCAGTAGCACATTTTCTCCCTAGTGAGTGAAGGCAATGGTATGAGAGCCTTGTTTGCTGACTCCATTCTTTAACTGCAGTCTAATTTTGAGGGTCACTTGCAATGTAATTTTACAGTTTAACTGTGCAGATACAGCCTAGGTTAAAGAGGTTGTACAGCAAAGGAATTTCTCTAAAGCTTTCCTGTGAGCCTTAAGCCATGCTACATAATCCCCATGTGATGTGCTCAGGTAGGCAGCTAGTGGGAAATCTCTGGAAGCAAGGTTTAATGTGAGGCTCTTCAGCTCTGCTTTAACAGTCAGACTAATAAAAGCATCTCCACTTGGGTTAGTGTGCTCTGAACTTGACCTAGCAAGCAGATTTTCATGTGTCCTGGCACTGGCTAATGATATAACAACAGGTTTGGGATTAGGAGTTGAGAGTTGTGTAGCATGGGTAAGTTGATGGGAGCTGCATTTTTTTTTCACCAGCAGTTCTGTCCTTGGGGAGGGGACAGGCAGGGAAGCAGGCCCTGCTGCAATGGGCTGATGGGAATCCTGGGCTAAAGTTCACTGTAGCAGAACACCAGGCACAGCCTAAAAAAGAAATACTGACCAAGCTGTGCAAATCCAGTGCCTGTGCTCTGTGAGTGCTGTTTGCTGAGGTGATGCAGGGTAAGTGCTGTGAGTCACTGACTCACACACGTGCTGAGCCAAGAGAGGGTTTTGGATCCCCAGCAAAGTGGCCTGGGCTGCTCCATGGCTGCTGGGCAGCTCTTTGTGCAGAGGCAGAGATGTGTTGTGTGCTGGGGGAACATGATGTGTTCTCTCTGACCCTCATGGAGTCAGCAGAGGTGTAAGGGCTGGTTGGTGACACACAGAACTCTGTTCAGCAGCAGCAGCACAAGAAATGCTTGCAGTATCACCAGGCAGATGCAGACATTACCAAATCTGACTTACAGAGTAGGTCACCGTGACATTCCATAGTGCTGTTTCCAAGAGACTTGCTCTTGGCTGCTGCTGAGTGTCTGTAGCCCATGGTCAATATTAAAACTAGGAGTAGAAATAGCAGAAATGAAAGTGGAACTGTTGCCTCCACACATTCTGTAAGGCAACAACTCGCTGTGGGTGCCATGCCAGAACCACTGTCCTTTACAACATGTGCTGTCTCCATCAGTGTACTGAGTATGGCAACTGCCATCCTGGAGAAAAGAGGTTGTAGGAATTGGGGCAGTACTGTGGATACTTCTGAAGTTTTCTTTTAGGTCAGTGTTGACACCTGAATTTGTGATTTGATGATAGAGGTGTGGCAATAGGAGCTGAAAGGTTCTGGGGAGAGAGGTGAAACTCCTTCCACGTTTGAGGAGGCTTTAAGTACTTCGGGGCACTTAAAGTAGGGACAGAACAGCAGTACCTACACTACTGAAACTAACTCTACAAAACATGATCCAGCTCTGGGAAAAATGGTCACATCTGAAATCCTGAAGAGTGAGTCATAAAAGCAGAACACTTCTGCAGAGCTCTCTCAGTGCTCTCTCACTGTTCTTATCTCCCTGGACACACAGATGTTCTTTTATCGTGGCAAAACAAAGGGCCTGCCCCATAGCTGGAGCTCTAGGACTGCCTGACTTGCAGGGAACAGAGGGGATGTTATGCTGAGTGTGTGGGAACAGCCACAATGACCAGCACAGGCTGCACAAGTCTGAGCTGTGGGACACTTGGGCACCAAGACTGGAATCCATGTGGTGATTTGAGCATTAGTCTACATTTTTTAACTTGCTGCCTTAAAGGAGTGTTATCTGAGGACATGAAAAGATAAAACTACTGCTGAGATCAATGGTACCTGACAGTTGCTTTATGTCAGATGCAGAGTTTACTCCTATCACAAGAATTCTGCAAACAGAAACAAAGTGCATTAAAATGAGGGAAAGCTTAAGCTGAACATGAAGTTGCGTAAGCAGTAGAATATCAAAAGCACTTTGAAAAGCCTTTGGCTTCTCCTGATGGTTGAGGGGAAGGTGAATGTTTCTGAAGTTTAATCAAGTTGCAGTGTTTCAGCCACTTGCTGTAAGGAAATGGTCTCTGAACCTGTGTCTTCCTTCCTTCACTCTATTTACATGTACAGTCCGTGACTGCTCAGAGGGAAACAGCAGCTTGTTGGCCTTGGCACTTTGCTCGTGGCCTGTACTTCAGGGTCACTCAGCTCTGTTTGTGTTGACTTTCACTGTACCAGGGAATCTAAGAGGATACATCTTGTTCGAGTGTTGTTTTGCTAAACTCTGAATTTTTTCTGTTTGGTAGAACTGCACAAGTTTCTAAAGTCTGAATACTCCAGTTTTCCTGTTTGTCTTCATTTTGGGGGATGCTCAGATACAGCACTATACCTCAGTTTCGGTCCCTGACTCCTAAATTTCTGCTGTTGCTGAAACAGAATTTCTCATGTAGGGTGGTCATGGAGCTGGGACTCAGCTGAAGGCACGTGAGTGACATCAATAGTTGGTTCTGCTACAGTTCTAAAGGCACATCAGTTTTTGGAAGTAGAAACAAGGAACAAACCCCAAACCTTGTACTTTATCTCGCTCTATAAAGTAGTGTGGTTCTCAGCGACTGCCAAATCACGAAGTGTTAACTTGGGGCCAAACTTGGTGTGTGTGTCCTTGACTGAGTCTGTTTTCCCTTTTTGCAGGGTTGGCGTGTTGGAGGACACCTTCACCTGTCTTGGTGTTTTGTGTGCCATTGTATTCTTTCCAATTGGGATTCTGTTCTGCCTTGCACTGAGGCAGAGAAGATGCCCTAATTGTGGGGCAGCTTTTGGCTGAGGGGATGAAGGTGGACGTGCTTACGGAAGCTACAACTGTTAGCGTACTCTTTCTAATGTAAATGTCATGTACAATCATGTTATTTGCTTCAGACCTGTTTTGTAAAGTGTGAAGAAATTTAGTCTCTCTTGCATGTAATTTAAACTTAATCTTTTATGAGCATGTGCATTGCAAAACATGAAAACCTGACTTGTTTTCCATGTTTAGTGGCACCTGTTGAAAACTAAATAAAACTGCTTTTCCTTTTGCAATCCTCAACTTGTGGCTGGATTATTAAGTATGTGACTGATGTGTCTGATAACACATAGTCTGAAAGCAGAGTTAGTAATCCTAGCTACAATGAAGGATAAATATTTGCAGAATGTTTATGCTGATGATAAACCATGGTTTAAGGCTGTACTTGTTTAGGACATCGGATATTTGAGGGAAGTTTTGCAAGTGTTTGACCACTAGACTAAAAGCCCCTCTCCCCTCTCTGAAAGCACAAGTAATAACACAAAGTCAGAGCTCTGCTTTAATTAGTGAAGGTTTTGCTTCATGCAGGATGTGTTGGTTCACAGACAGCAGAACCTTCTGTCTGCAGCAGGGCCCTCCTCTCTAGAAAGAGGCTGGGGCACTGCCAACCGTGAGCTGCCCTCAGGAAAAGTTTGTACATGTTAGATATTTAATTCTGACACTGGATTATTGAAAGCTCATACAGTCTAGATTGACTTGTCTCTAATATGCTTTAGAAAACGGGCTCAGGTGTAAGTTACCCTTGGGAAAAGCTGGTGTTTCAGACTGGGATGGTGGATATTTATGCAGGGCTCTCTAGCAGTGTCCTCGGCCTTGAACTTGAAAGGCAGTGTGAGAGCAGCCAGCACATGCTCATGTACTATTTTTTGATATTAAGTAACTGAAAGGCATTTCACATGACTTGAATTCACTGTTTATAGTAGTAGAATGATCCAGGGGATGCTTCAGGAAGCATGTATATATGTAAAATAGAATGATTTGGAGTAAGGATTAATTGGTGGCAGCAGTCACAACACAGACAACACAACAGCAGTGGGAAGATCCCCTGAGCTGTGCAGGGATGAAGCACCTGCTGCTGATGCAGAGAGTTAATTTCTAGCAGTCTAGGCTAATTTCTGAGGTGATTATTACTGTAGGAAAAGGCTTTTGGACAAGCTGGCTCTGCTGGATTTACCACACCTGAGTCTGAGGTGACAAACTGCTCAGCTCTGCTTGGGGCTGATGTTAAAAGCTCAGTTTCACTTAACTCAGCTACTGCACCGTGCCAGTGTTCAGGCTTTGCTCGGCTCCTTAACCAAAACTTTCCAAACTTCAGCTCCTTCTCCTTTGGGAAGGCTGCAGTCATGGAGGAACTTCAGAGGCAGCTTTTTGTGTTGGCACTTGAGAAAAAATCGTGGCACTGCTTTATTATGACTTTTTATCAGACTAAAGTTTGACAACACGTTTTAAAGACAAAACTATCATTGAAAAATGTGTTAGCAGTACAACACTAGACTGAAAATGGGGTTCTGTTAACACTTGGAAATTTGTACGTGAACATCAAGCAAAGCTTTACAAGGTTGTCTATTCTTAAAGGATAAATATTTATTTATAACCTAAGGTATCTTTCTTACACAAAATAATGTATAATCATTTATACAGATGATTCTCTATTCTGGAATAAGGCAGTTTGTTACATTGTTCTGTTTGAAAAAAAAATAAAATCACTGTTATCTTCTTTAGTAGGTGGCATATGCAGGCTTATATTCTAGAACTTACCATTGCAGCTTTCAAATAATGAATGCCAAAGATTCAGATCTGTGAGCTATTACTTACACTGATTCACTAGAGCATCCAAACTATCTCCAGCATTTTCACAAATCCTACTACAAAAAAGGCATACTGTAAAATCAAACACTAGCCCAAAGCAATTACCTCATTAGAAAGCAAATGTTTTAAAAAAAAAAAAACAAAACACAAAAACATCAGAGCTCCATTCCAGTATGCCAATATTGTACAGTAATTACATTTAAATAAATTTTTAGAAGAAGTTGAGATAGTAATTGTCATTACTGAGCTGGGTGTTGGTAAGGAAGGAGGAGGTGTCTGGGCCGTGTGTTCATCGGATGATCGGTGCTGATCTGTCATTTGTTACTGTTGGTCGGAGCTTCACGGTTGCAAAGGGGTTTTCTCCACTGAAGAGAAATGCATAAAGTTACTCAAAGGCTTGTAGCAATCCTACCTCAAATTGAAACAATTCGAGTTCTTCATGGAAGTTGTCTTCAAACAACTTCAAACAGTGAGTTATGGTTTGAGACTAAAGGATTCTGTGCAATTCTTAGTTTAACTTGAATTAGTAAAACAAGGTTACACGTGAGGATTCACTTTGCAGTGATCCAAAAATTTGGGAAGTTAGTGCCCAGTTAGATCTGGACTTTTTTAAACAAGTCCCAGTCTTCAAGGATTTTTGCTTTTAAACCTTAAAAGGCAGTTAAAGGAAGGTTAAGTCCTGCTCACTGACAAACTACTGGAGAAACACATTTTTCTGAGAAGGGCCTGTTCATCAAACTTTGAGGCCACTCTTGAGAAAAGTGCAACCAATTTTATCCATAATGTTTTACCAGTGCCTGGGAAAGGTCTCAGAGAAATTAATGATAAACATCATTACTTTCCCTTACAACAGATAAAATAATATAAGCTAATATGAAAATCAACACAAATAAATCGGTGTGAAAGTGTTAAAAACATACCTTAGAAAAGGTGGTTTTGTAATGCCATTCATGTTGGGTTTCTGTAAAAGAAAAAGATATTTTTATAAGTTTATAAAGATATGCTACAGGTGCCCTCACTATCCTGCTAAGGAAAAGAGACCCTGTCATTCAGATAGGCTAAAATATTTAGCCATTTAGAACAATTATTTTGCAGTTCAGCTGAACTGAACAGGATTCTTTCAGAACATCAAAATTAGAAAGTTACAATGATGCTGAGAAGTGAAGGTAACCCAAGAGGTGGCAGTGTGGCTCTGTCCCAGGCTGCTCCAGGATGCAGCATTTTGGGTGGGACAAAATGGAAAACTGTTGCCTTTGGCAAACCACTTGTGCTATGGGGAAGTTTCAGCAAACAGATAATTCCTACTTTTATTCCCCCCCTCTTGCTTAATGATGTATTTTAAACTGCAAACCAATTGCTGCTAATAGGTGTCAGATAAAACTCAAGGTGAAAATTGGAATATACATTTTTGCATTTAGAAGCAGGAATACACAGTCACCTTTTATGGAGCAACTTGACTTGTACCAGTGTAGTCAATATGGCCATTTTGGGTTTAATATTTCAAATTTCAGTGCTGAACCAAGGCCTATCAGCCTTTCCTTTCCAGGCACACTGTGTTGTACCAGCAGTTCCCAGTTACCAAATTCATGATATCATGATGCAGAAGAAACCTCTATTTATTCAGGACCTCATTCAGCTGGGTTCTTAACTCACACTTGACTTGTGATTTCAGTGACATTGGTCATGTACATCAGTTGTAAATAGACCACGATTTAGGCCTAATTAGCCCTTAAAATTAATTACAATGAACAAATGCCTGAATTACATCTTACTGAACACCAACCCATGTCAAAGCTTTGTCAACTCCTTTTTTTGTTAGTTGATGCTTGTTCTCCATAATACTGTCCCTCTGCAGCACAGCCTGAACAATATAACTGGCTAGAACCATTCCTCATCTTCTTAAAATCCTGAGCTATTTTTTTCTGTGTAGTCTGGAACAAAAATAAGATGCCTTGAATCATTTCCTGCCTCTGTGTTCTGCTCACTCCTGCACAGTGAGCAGACTGTTTCACCCAGTATGTAAATCCTGTGCGAGTCTCCAGGCCAGCCTGGTACAATGTTGGGCTCATTTCCAAAGCCTTATGGGGGAGTGGGGGTTTGAGACTTGCACGGAAGCAGGAAAGACAAGGAAGCTCAGCAGGTTCCCAAAGGAATGAAAATAAATAGTGACTTGGGAGCAAAAGACTTGGGTGCAAGTGCAGCCACTCCCCTCCACAGCTCTCTTGTTTTGTAAGGTAAAAGGTGAGGTGGGGTCACAGTAAAAAGTTAGGGGGTGCCTTGACAAAAGTGGTCATTATTTTATACTCCAGGATTCCTAATTTATTTTAATCTGGCTTTCCGTGTGGAAATTTAGATTATCAAAAAAGATGTATTTGTTTTCCACTCCTAGGAGTATCAGCTTCCGTTATTTTATATATATATTAGGGTGGGTTTTTTTTCCTTCAGAATGTGATCTCTGCTTCAAGACGTGTTTTGAAGAAAGTCTCAAAAACATCATCTCAAAAACATCACCCTTAGATACAGATCAGCAAAATACTTAAATGAGCAGCAAGAAAAAACCTAGTAATTGTGTAATTTGATTAGGTTCATTTTGAGTCAGTTTAAATGCTGACTTAATAGCAGAAATAATAACATTGTATAGCAGGATTTGTTCATAAAAATGTACTTCCACTCAGCTGAATAGAGATGAGTTAGTACAGCTCTCCCTCAGTGCCAGCTGCAAACCCACCACTAACTTCTGTGGGGTTCCTGAATACAGAGCTCCCTGTGCCCCACAGCTCTAAAATCACTGAAGATGATGGACTTGTTCCACTTTCTGTGGGAGTTTCTTGTCATGTTTAACAGATTCCATTGCTGAGAAGCTTTGCTCTGCAGAGTGTCTCTTACTACTGACAGTAAATATCCCTGGTCAATTCATCTCCCTTCCTGTCAGGATGGATGGGCTGAAATGCCCAAACTCCTGATACTCCTGAGCACAGCTGTGCCCCAGGGCTGAAGTCAAGCACAAGGGAGAGGATTCCAGGATTCCTTGTTTAAGAGCAGGTGAAGAAGCAGGTTGAAGAGCAGATGGAACGTTTGTGTTCCCATCCCAGATCACTCACCGGCCCGATGTGCTCCACTCTGTCCGTCGGTGTTTTAGGAGCGGGACCTTTGGCAGACTCCGCTCGTTTGTCTGCCTGGGAAGCCCCCAGGTAGTCTGGTGGGGGGAGAACAACTTCACCTTTCTCCACAAGATTTACAGAACTGACACTTCGGATTGGTGCAGGGCTGCAAGACAGAACCCAAGAGATGCCTTTGTCAGTTCCTAGAATGCATCTCTCGCTTATCCCCAGCACCAGCAGAGCACAGAAGGGCATGAGCTGGAAGTTAATAATGGTGTACAGTGCCCCTGAAGCCAGTGGGACTCTGAATTACAGTTGTTCCAAAGCTACTTCTTGGGTCTGTGTGTAACCAAAAAAACACATTAATGTAATCAAGTCCTCCTAGTGCAGATTGTTAGAGAGCATTTACTGTACATGTTACTGAACCTCAAAGAACATGAGCACAGAAATAACATTTCTAATGAATGTTAGTGAAGATTTGGGCATTTCTGCAAGTGCCACCCAAAATGTTACCTTGGCACAGGGGCAAAGGCTTTGTCTTCTGCTTCTTCTAGTGGTCTCGTGTACGACGATGGAAACCATCCTTTTCTGTAATGAGAAAGGTTTTTATATTATATATATTGGAAAGGTCTTTCAAAAGACAACTTGGATAAAACCATAGACTGAACAGACTGAGACTTAATTTTTGAAGACCCAGTTTCTGATGATGCCAAATTAGTGTGCAAAACCTCCCTAAAATAAGTGCAGTGATTTGCCTTCCAGAAAGCCTCCAAGTCCCCCAGACAGCCAACAAAAAAACCATTTACCATCTGCTAACAAAATCTGATGAATTTTCCTTCATGTTCAAGGTGAGTAATATATTGATTATCTTACACTCTGGTTGTGTCATGCTCCCCATAGAGCCAGCCATCCTTTTCCTCAGCTACCAGCAGTGTGATGATATCCCCCTGGGCAAAGCTGAGCAAAGTCTTGTTGCTTCCAGCAGTATGTGGGAAGATTGTCCTCACTTTTTGCCTTTTCATTATATTTAGTCCAGTGGCAACGGAAGTGGAACGTGATAAACTGGCATCATCTGAATTCTCTGCCAGAAAAAAGAAACACAAAGGAAAAGAAACAAATTAAAGGAAAAAAATAGCCACAGTAACAAAATTCAATGCAATTAGTAGTCTGACAGGAAAAAAAAAATAAAGGAATAATCAAGTGCAAATCAATTTCTGAGACTTTGTACTTTCTACTTAGACACGTCTCAGTTACCTGCCAGCGTTTCTTATCAACAGGAAGTTCTTACCAGCACGTGTATTTCTTTACACACACCCAGCATAATAAAGTTGAACCATCAGTTGAACCATAAAAAGTTCTGTAAGTTTTAACTAGCTACATTTCTCCCCTTTTGGCATGAAAAGTGCTAAACAATCACAGCCATAAAAGACAGGTCTTTGAAAGTTTTCCATTATAAAAAGTAACTGTGTATAAAACCCAAGATTTCACTTTCAAATTGTGCCTCACACTCAGCTTCAGCATCGAGGAGAGCTGCAGATACTTGGCACTTTGCAGGTATTTAAACAAGATGTTTACCAGAAGACAAAATAAAGGAGGGCTCAAAACTGTGTTCTTTGGTTAGTACAATATATTGTAAATACATTTTCAAGGAAGAAATGCTGGAATTGCTATTATCACATCGAGCAGTTTTTCATTTCTTATGCTGTGAGCTAGACTTAGTTCTTTCTCTTCCCCATGGCAGAGAAAATAAAAAAATAAATACATTGGAAACTTGGAAAAGAAATCTTAATAGGATTTTACAGTTCAGGAAAGGAACACAAGACTGTGCTGGTTTTGACCCATGTGCATTCCTCCCTCAGTGCTAAGTGCCCTTAAAGGAAACCAAAGTGGGACTGGCAGAGTGTTTATGTTGTTTTGTGCAGTGAAACATTCCCTGGGATGTATCCTGTTCAAAACTGCAGTGCCTTCTGCTGATAACACTGGAATTCATAAGAGCAGTTAGGTTGGGTTAATCAGTGACACACAGACAGTGATTAAAATAGAATTTACCTACCTTGACCTGCGTTTTACTGCAAACAATTCTCTTATAACACATCTCTCTCCTGTCATAAGAGAGTCGTAAATGCTCTGTAAAGACCATTTCCTACTCCTCTATACATCCTGGAATTCACATCATGGTGGTGGTGGAGAAGCCCTGAGGTAATTCTGAACGCTTCTGGATGTCATTCACACTTACCCAGTCTGCAGCAAAGCGACACTCACCTGCTGAATGGTTTAGTTTCTCAGAAGGTGCTTTGGGAGCTGTGGCAGGATTGTTGAACATATCAACGAGTGGACTCGTGTAGGCCCTGCCTGTGGGAGCTGGGGGCACGTTGGATGCATTTTCATGATGAGGATAAAAATCATTTCCAATCTGAAATCACAAAAACAACACTGGGGAGACAGCCATCACTTATTTTGCAAGATACTTAAGATTTGCTTAAATACTCCCAAATGGTATACATTGAGACATGACATAAAGACATAAAGCCCACATGTTCCTGTGGAATTGCTGATAGGTTTGTGAGAGGCTTCTGTCCCTTGATAAACACTTGTTAGTGGGAAGGCTATGACAGCCATTTTTTTTTTTTTTCCCCAAATAGCATGATGATCCCCAGATTTTTCTTTTTTAGAACTTCACTATAATAATTTAGAAATTCAGCAACTAATGGTGACACAACATACAAACAGAAATGAGAATTCAACCTGTATCTAATAAGCTAGTAAGAATCATGAAGGGAAGAAGGAAAGAAAATAGAAAATAACATTTTGTTTAAGTCTATGTTAAACTATTGAGTATGTAATTACTATTACTTACAGACAAGAATGTTGGAAATGGAATGGTTAAAACAAAAGCAGTCCTGAGGCTGGGTTTCTCCCTGCTGTACTGTGTATGGTTCCAGAGCTTCAGGATTTTGGTTCCATACCCATCCCCAGTTTATTCCAACAGAGGTACATTATAGACTCCATCCCAAATGTTGAGTTGGAAAAACCAAACCTAGTGAAGCCCCTCCATTCCCATCAAAGAACAACATACCATGGTATTTCTCTCTACCATCGGTGAAGGCTGCGGCGTTCCCGAGACTGGAGTGGATCCAGGTGTCCTTATTTCATCTATCATCATTCTGACTTTTTCAGGCACTTTGGTGGCATCACTGCAGATTTCCTGCCACCCAGGCAGCTTGGATTTCAGGAAGTCTGCACACTGTATCCAAGGTAAAAGGTCCTTGTCAGAGATGTGCTTTACCATAAAATTTTCAGATCTACTGGTTAATAACTTTCATTACACCAAACTCTTTAACACCAGCAACAAGGAAGTATTTTCTAAGATTTTTCTAAGCAATACCTCTTTGAAACAAATAATATGTTGTAAAAAGAGGCTCTCCTTTTGCAGGGTCAGATTGTGGATTCAAGAAGTCACAATAACCCTTGATTGTTGCTCTAATACATTTCACGGAATAGTGTATTGTAAACCTTTCCTATGAACTGATCACAACACTAGTCTGGCAGTTCCGTGTTCCTTGGCTATTTCTGGCAGTGGGATCTGTGTGCTGCAGGAGGTCCTGGAGATCTCCTACAGGACCGGATTTCAGGAATTTCATTTCTGTTGGCTGACCTGGACGTGGTAGAAGTGCATGTACTGGGTAAAGCTGCAGTGCTTGTCAACCAGAAAACAGAACCTTCTTTTCTCTTCCAGGAGAGCTTCTCTGCAGCCTTCTGCGATAAACCGCTGGATATCGCTCTGGCGAGAGTTCACAGTTTCCAAATACTGAGGAAAAAAGGAAAAAACAAATCACATGGGGCCTCTGAGTTTTGTTTGGCACTATATCCAATCACTGAATCAAACTCCAAAAGCTTTAGAAGTAGCTTTTGCAAAGGTGGAGTGGGGGGCTCTGCTTCCAAGCCCTTCTCTATTCCTGCACACACCTGACTGCCCTGATCCCATCAGGGAAAGGATATTGTCCCTACAGGCATCAACAGCCTGTTTAGGGGCTGTGTTGAGGGGGAAGTGAAGCAAAACAAGAAAGAGTCTTTGAGCCTCTAAATAAAACTCTGCAGTAGATAAGAACCTGGCATCAAAGCAGGCACTGTGCTGAGCAATTGTACAGCCACAGGTGTTCTCATTAGACTAATTACCTTGTCTGCTCCACAGCAGTTCGTTTACTCACACAAAGCTCTGAGGAATCTCCAGTTCATTTAAGAGGGGGAAAATGAATGAACTAAAAAGGCTCAACTATATTTATCTGAGGTTACGAGGATTCATGGCTAAACTGTGATTAAATGCTAATCCTTGAACTCTCAGACATAGAGCCAGAACTGTAAAAAAACCAAACCTGTTATGAATGCAGGTTAAAAGATAGGCACTAAGAAATAGGAGCTCCTGCCATCTACATTTACTGTACTGAGTCATAAACAAAGCTTTATTTGAATTTTAAAATAGAAAAATATGGAAAAATATATAAGCTAGCACAAAGTACAAGTATTGTGCAAATAAAAGTATCAGTGGCAAGTATTTTCAGAGAGACACATGACAAACCAGAATATGAGTTCCTAATTTTAAAATTGTTTCCCTTCAGTGCCCTGCCATTTCAGATTGCTCCTCAAGATGGCAATGCTGGATTAAAGGCAGTAGGAAAGGCAGTAAATAATAACACAGGTTGGCATTGCCTACTTTGGGAAATAAATTTATATCAAATTACTTCTGAATTTGCATAGCTTAGCTGACTCTCTGTGTAAAACTCTGCATGAAGGTGTAGCTACAGAGGTACTTTAAAACAAAAAAAAAATCAATTAGTGGTCAAGGGATGAAATCTAGAAACTAGAGCAGAAGTCTCTAAACACGCACAGTGGAGCAGTGAGAGCTCACTTTCAGCTGGAATACATCCTCTAGGAGCACCTATGATCCCAACCAGCTTTCAGGAATCATTAACATTTTCTCTTGACCAGTTCTCGTACAAAGAAAGAAACAAATAAGAGACAATGCACTGACCTCCATTTCTTTATGCTCATATTTCATTACATTTCGTGCTCCTTGGCTTTTCCTTCTGATTTTTTTCAGCTCAGCCTGAGACTTCTCTAAAGAATCCAGTTTGCTCCTGTGTTCGGTTTGGTACCTCTTTAGAGTTGCCTGCAATCAAAGCATTTACAACAGCTCGAAATGCTCTCAGCCCCAGAGCTGGGTAAGTGCCTAAAGCACTTCTGTGATCCCCGAGATCTCCCACACCCACCAAAGCAGTTCAACAGTTGCTTTAGTTTGATTAGTTAATTCTTTGGGAACAATTTCTGAAAAAAATTGTTGACTAGCAATAGACAAATACAATAGGAGGTTTAGAATTGAATGTATACTTACAGTCATATATTTCACATCCAGGTCTGTTTTCTTTTCCAGTTCAGATATAATTTCTTTATGAAATTTCTTGAACTTTAAAAGCAAATGAATGAAGAGTTATTAAAAATTGGCAAATGCAATTTATAATTTCACAAGGAAAATTAATTAAAAACAGTCATTTAACTTACACTCTCCTCTAGACTGTCATTAAGTTTCTTGTGTGTTCTTGAGATTTCTACCAGAACTTGGCCTGTTGATAAACATACAACATATTGGTTTCTTTCATAGAGTTCTGAAGTTAGTTAACAAAGAGCAGTAATAAAATACATTTACCTAATATGCTCATTAACTAGACTATATTTAAGAGGGATAGGAAATTTCTTGCTGTTGCTCACCACAGCAGTTTAAATAAATAACTCTCTCTGGCCACAGACAAACCAAGCAGCTCCTAAGTGATAGAAGAATAACTAATCATGCATTGTTATGCAAAAGCAACATGGGGTGCCAGACAAAATAAATACTTCCTTCTCTCCAGAATAGCTCCTGTTGGTTTAGTAACAGCTTCTTTTCTTGCCAAGTCAGAGAATAGCATGAGTTGTTACTATACAAGTACCTGCTCTCCCTTTCTTAGCCTGAAAATTAAACTTTAATGTTCATTAAGTAACAGCACCTTCAGAATCAACAAAGTACCCTTTCCCTTCCCTCACAGCACACCTGCTAAAACAGAGGTGATGCACACGCTGATGAATTCCCCCATTTCATCAGCAATTGTGGTCCAATTGTACAGCATTAACAAAAGGCCAAGACAAAGCAGATTTCTCAGCATCCTCTCCACAGATCCCGAGTATGCCAGCTCTGCTGTCTCACAGCCCAAACTTAACCAGCTTACTCTGAACCATGAGCAGTTAAAAGCTGAACTGGTTCATTTTACTTTAGGAGGATATAGAAGAAAAATCCCTCAGTCTTTTGGGTGTGGTTCTGTGCAGAAACCATCATAAACTGTGGTGCAGCCCTGCATGCAGCCACATCACCCTGCCTGGGGCACATGGCCACATCATCCCCACTCCCTTCCTTGCCCTGGCACTGACACAAGGATTGTGTGCCAGCCTTGCCTGGGAGATTGCAACACACTGCTGAGAAGAGGAGTTGGAAGGGCCCTGAAGTGCCCAGTTTGACTTCACCCAAATCAGACAACTGTTACCAGCTCCCAACTGGAGCCATTACAACAACTGGAAGTGCCAGGGCCACTATCAGAGTCCCAAACTGGGCTTAACTGGAGATGTGGTTCACTGGCATTCCATTTCCATGGCAAGACTGGCAGGTTCAGTTCCACAGCTGGTTCCCTGGCACACCTCCTCCAGTAATCCCTCTATCAGCCTTGTAGGTGTCCCACCTGTATTTGCCCCACAGGTGCCCGCAGTATTTACCCTGCAGTCGTGCTGTCCCAGTGCACAGGCAGGGCTACAGAGCAACCCACAGCTCTGTCACTCCTGCACGTGGCTGGCAGTCACTGTGTGGGACTCTGTGTCCCTCCTATTTGTTGTTTTACACAATTCCAGTTTCCTTTCTTGAGTTAAAAGAGATGATCCATTAACTGCTCAATATGCTGCTGCACAAATCTTGTTCTCTACCATCCATGGTCTTGAGAAGCCCTGAGTTAGTTAACAAAGAGTTATCATCCCATAATGCTCAGAAAATCTCAGAAAAATGCAGATAGATAAAAAATTTGGCTTGATAAAATAAATGATAGAAGTTTTCACGAGAACCTTCTCATCTTCTCCTTTCTCATCTCCACAAACATCCAAACTTGCCTCCCCACAGTGCAGGTCAGTGATTTGGGAACCCCCCACATAAGGCAGAACCATTCCCACAGTGCCTGGGATGTGTTACCACCTTTCTCCCATTCCCAGGTCACACCACCTCAGGATTTTAGTTTCTTTGAAATGAGGACCCTACATCCTGTGTATGACACAGCAGATATTTAACTGAATAGTGCAAAATGTGGGTCTGCATCATTGTTTATGGGAAACAGGAGGTGGTTCGGGAAGAAACACAGGTCTCCTGAGTTTTCAGGAATCCCTCTTTGCCCAGCAGACCACAGAAGACTTAGAAGAAAGAATAGGAATACAGTGATATCAGACAACCCCTTGACTAGCAAGAAAAAGGAATTTGCACACAGGATGGGAGATGGCAAAGACAGGGGGGTGCTTTATTTTTAAAAATATGTATAGTTTCTTTGAGTCCTTCTGTCTGGCCCATAGAGTTTTATGCTTTTTTTGTTCCTATTTAAAGTTACTGGTGACTACAGAAATAGAAATACTAGTAGAAGAGAGAGGTGCTATAGTAATTAGTTGCTCATATGCAGTAGAAAAGTAAATACAATGTAGTTACACAAACACTTGAAGTAAGGGACCTGAGCCCTGTTATTTTAAGGCTGTAGAAGTGAATACACTTTATTCCACAGTGCTTCTGTTTCACCAACTCAACTGAAAAGACACATTTTAGACTCTAAAGAGCTTTTAAAGTTAGAAGAGTTTTGTAAATCCTTATCTACAGCTTACAAAGGAAAAGGTTGTTACAAGAAAGCAGGAAATATAATCAAGAAATACAAATAAAATTACAAAGTTTGTTTGGTTTTACATGTGCAAACTAGAATAGAAATAGAATAGGAATAGAAATAGAAAGCTATTTGGGAAGCTACAGAAATTCCGGGCGAGAGTAGAAATGGCCTTCAAAATAATTACCCTTATCGATTTTTATACTTCCAAAATGAACTTATTCTGCCTCTCTGTGAGAAGCACTCCGGGAGCCAGGGCAGAGCCCTGAGCTAATCCTTGGCAGCCCCAGCGCAGCCACCGCGGCCGTTCCGGGCGGGGACACATCACACAACGTGGGGTATTGACTCAGCTCTGCGTGGCTCCCTCCCTGCCTCCTCCCTCCCTCCTGCCCTGCCCCTGCTCCATAAAACCCCCATTCACCTGGGGCGGCCGCGCTGGAAAACCTGACGCGCTCAGGGGTTATTTTTGTCTCCTGAACTGACTGCAGCCTTCAAGGCTTTCGCCTTTGAGTGCCTGCTTAGAAACAGTCGTGGGTTTTCTTTTTTTTTTTTCGTCTCAGTTACAAAAAAATACTGCCAAAACATGTCCTGAGGAGAACCTTAAAAACGACACTTCCTTCTGAATGGTTTGGGCAGGATTATTTTACGGGTTTATTTTAGAGTTCCAGAACACTTTTAAACATCCTGTTTAGGCATCAGTGACTGTGCCTCTCTCCAATTGCATTTTCTCTTTCTCTCCCTGTGCTGTGTATCAGAAACCCTGTTTAATGCTGGGATCTCCTCCCTGCTACTGGGAATCCACAGGCACTCCATGTACTGGCTCACCCATTCAACTTCCTCTTTCAAAATGTTGATTCAAAATGTGAGGAGAACGCACAGTAAGCACGCTCTGGCCTATTAAAATTTAAATTATACCTCAGATTCTGCACTCTGAATAAATAGAGAGCATTTTTACAGTGAACATATACCATGTTTCTTTATTGCCAGTTTAAGATAATGGGTTAGCCACAATTTGATGGGCCTTCCAAATAAAATTTATAGAAAGAGGCAAGTTTTTGTCCAAGACTAAGTCAGGAAAGACAAAACAGCCCCTGATAGCTGTAACAGTGTCCAAGTAGAATGAAAATTGAACAACTTTAAAATAATATTTGAATTTTAATTACCATGGTGAATTATAGAATAGCTCTAAGAAAGATGACAGGTTACTCTGGATTAATAGCAGCATAACCTAAGGCCAGGCTCTAATGTTCAGTCTTTATTCCTCTTGAAGAAAGGCAGGTGAAGACAAACATGTATTTCTCACATCAATTAAAACTATTTTGCTATGTATTAAAGCTGCCCATGAGCAGGTTTTATATATGAGAGCTCATAACACACAATAACCAAGTGTTAACCTTGTCATCATTTACTGGCAAACCCCAAACCTATCAAACATAATGACATGGCCAGAGCACTTGATAAGAGGCCACTGAAGTCCAATTTGTGGCAGCCTTGCTGTAAACTTGAACCCCTTTTAGGCATCATATTATACTATGAGTTACTAACCCAAACCACTGGTCTTGATGATAAACATAACTATTAAAATACTTGCCTTTCAAAATCAGGTTTTTTTCTGCTTTCCATCTTCCCACACACCCTGAACATGAAATCTTTGTGACTAAAAAACGCAGCTGACATTAAATATTCCCACTTTGTTTGAGAAAACAAAAAAATAGTTGTACATTTTCACAGATGCTTATTCTGATATTTTGCTGTTACCTTAGAGGTAGGGAAGAGAAGCAACAACCTCTTACAGAAAGGGAGCTATAACCTGATATATGACCATGAACAGTAGTGCCAAGTTCCATGGTAAATTTGTTTCTGTTTCAAATAGGTTCAGTGCACAGGTAGAAAGATCTTTTAAGCTGAAACTTCAGGAATTCCTGGAATATTTTTAGGCTTAATCAAGGTTGTTGGTTATGTCTGTATTTTCTCTTGAGAAAATATGACAGACTGGAATTCCATTAATGACATTGGGTTTGTTAAAAAACCCACAAACTACTAGCCCAAAGTATGTAATAGTTATTTCTGCAGAACTGTAACTCTCTCTCAGCAGCCCCTGAGCAAGAAGACATCCTTGGAAGTCTGTCTTCACAGGAGATAAAAATCAAGGAAAGCAGTTCCTAAAATAAAAACTCATTGTAAGGCCAGAACTTGTGCAGCAGTTACACTTCAACCCCACTGTTTGCGCTGGCTGATTGTTCAAGTTATTTACCTTTTCACCTTATGTTGACTGTTCTTGTGAATAGAAGACTAGAAGAATTTGTTCAAGTTAAAAACAAAAATGGAACTCAATCAATAGAATTCTGTCGTAGCAACAAGTATCAACAGCTACCAACAAAATCACTTAACCTTTTAAAATACTAAATAGCTTTATAAAGGTCAATAAAAGCAGTAATTGCATCAGCTTCCTTGAAATACACCTCAAATTTGTTCTATTTAGAGAAGGTTGCTCTTGAAAAATTTCAAGCCTCTTATTGGAGAGACTTTCTTAGATGTCTGGGAACAGACAAAGTACTTAATTATATCACTCATTTACCTCCTACTGTCCTATTTTGTATTCAGGGCAGGTCGAGTAACTTTGTGTCTTAGAGATGAAGCCACACAATTATTTACATTAAACAAGAGAATGAAAGGCTGAGTCAAACCTACAC